TTTACCAAACAGCTAGAGATTAAAGTTCCATAATAAGAACTCTTCCAAAGACGATAGAAAACCTAACATTCTCTATTGGTCAAAAGCAATATCCATAACAAAACTTTTAAGGAAAAGGAACAATTTAAAGGATACTTAAAAAAAAAATAAAGGATACTTTTATTACATGATGAAAAAAAAGTGACAGGAAGAAATCAAAAATAATCCCCAAATGTGGCTTTTCATGCTAGGAAAGTTTCCTCATCTGCTCACCAGAAATACTGCAGAAGGAAATGTGACTCATGTATAGAATTTTCTAAGATCATTCATATTAAGCAACTAATTCTTGAAATCAGTTTCACTAGACAGAGCAAGAAGCAAAACTTCGGGTAGTTAAAGCAGGTCTCAGTATCACTGCCTCCACTTGTGGAGACTGCAAAATAGTCCTTAGCATGGTATTTGTGATAATTCAGTTGTCCACATGGCAGCATGTCAAGATGTTATAAATAGTGATTTATTATTTCTCTGGAGTATCAAAAACCCGCTGACCTAAGAGAATTTGACAAAGGCCTTGTTTACAAAGGAAGACTTCTAAGGAAGGGGGAGCAATGTGAAAACCCCAGAGGACAACACCACTTTTATAATTTATGAAAGTTTTCTGTTTATGGTTTTCATCCAACACACAGTAAGTCTTGAAAAGGAAATACCAAAATATTACAGTATTAGAAAGTGTATTCCAATTACCTCCTAAAAAAGAATGCACTGTGCTTTTAGATCAGTTTATGGAAGGGCTTAAGCTTAATCAAAATAAAACAATTTTAAATAGCTATCCGCATAAGGGCTACTTTCTACACATATTCTATCAGGAACGCCTGAAACAGAACTCAGGCATTAACAATGTAATACAAGCAGAGACCCACTTTTTTTTCTCTCTTTTTTGGCCAATTCTAAGCCTCAGGTGTTGGTCAAAGCACTTTTCAAGAAACTTGATGAGAAATGCTCAAAAACCACTTTAAAACGAACAAAAGAAAAGATCTAAGGCTGCTTTGAACATGCTCTTGTGGTGAATATTTTCTGTGAAACCCCACAGTGTAGCTAGTGCCAATGTGGAGATGTAACTGATAGAACTCATAGGAGAAAGGCTGCATTGAAAGAAGCTCTCCCTCACCGCCCCCTCAAGGGTTTGGTAACCCAAATCCCTAATTTATTTTAAAATGGTCTTTACCAACATGACATCTCTTTTTCAAGCCTCGAATAAGGAAGATGGACCTCTCATCTAAATACGGTTTTTTTTTTTCCTAATACTCTGTGAACCAAACAGGTGTCCCCTTTTTCTAATAACTAGTAAACATTTGAATTAAAAGGGTTGTTAACAGAAAGTAACTCCAGGAAAATGAAAGGGTAATTAAATTCTTGAAAGAGAAAACATGTCTTGATTTGCATAACAATGGTCCAACAAGGATTCAAACCTGCCACACCTCTTAGTACTTCTCCAGGGTGTAAGTGGCTTCCCACTAATGACTAGCGGAAAATAGTACGGTAGGCATCTGAATATTCACAGTTAAGTACACACACACACACACACACACACACACACACACACGGGGCTTTTTTTTTTTTTTTTTTTGTCATTTTCCCCATTTAAATATACTTTAAAAGCAGTAACATAAAACTATGCATATATTACATCTATAAAGATATATAGATATATAGATATACATGCATGTGTGCTTATGTATACATACCTACAACCACAAATACATTATAAGTTGCTTCAATAACACACTATCCCAGTATTTGATAAATTCACTAAAAATAAACTGCTTTTATTCTATTTCTCAAAACTTTACTAGTGTTCCAAGAGATTCAAATTATTGTTACTGATTTTGTCAGCAAATCAGTCTACTAATAAAGAGTCAATTAAAAGTAGAAATAATTTCATATATTATTTTTAATTAATGTACAAATTAAGTCAGAACACAAAATACTTATACTGCCAGGAAGCTTGGTATTCTCTGACATCTATTCTAAAAAAATTGTCATTGACCCCAGTTTGTAGTTCTGAAATAAGCTACACAGGGAGTACAGTTCATATCTATATTTCTATTACTTTTGAATCCCCAAAGAAAATGAAATGGAAGCTGCCAGTTTTGCTGATAGGGGATTGCTTTCACATTTTCTTAAGTTTTGCAGTTCCACTTCAGTTGAAGAGCATTAGTTATTGGTTAAAAGAGGGTTTTCAGAGTTATGGATTTTAGCACTTTGTTGACGGAAGGTTTTGATGCTCAGCAAACTTGGCTAAAACCTAGAAAGTGACAGATGCATGAAAAGTTGAAAAATAGGACACACCACTGTGAGCTCAGCTGATAAACTTCCACCAGACACTTACTATTTTTTAAAGTGCTGATGCCAAGTGAAAAGTGGAAAAACTGATCACAAACTAATTTCTGGTGTTTCGCTTTTATCATAATAAGTGATTAGGTTGAGATAAATATTAATGTAGCTGTACAGTGTATGCTGTGAATCTATCAAGACTTAACAAAAATTATCCAAATGTTTGGTATGTTAAATATTTTCTTTATATACTTAATATGATACATAAATACAATTGAATCAGATAAAAGAACAAATGTTGTTAAAATATTTACAAAAAAAAAATAACATCCTTTTAGACAATTTTCACAATGTCAAACCACCCAAGATTACATTATCTTCCTATTTGAAGGTACAGCTTGTCTACTCAGGAAAATTTTAGCTTAGTGAGACTTTTCAACATTGATTGCTAATTTTGGATCAGGTACTTGCTTTCTGATTTAGGTCAAATTAAATTATATTAACTGCCATGTTTTGTTGATTAAATTATATTAGCTACCATGTTTTGTCACTGTTTTCTCATCTTTAAACTTAGGATGACAGTGCCTCCCTCGACATGGTAGCTGAGAGACGATACTTGTAACATGCTTGCTGTGGGCCCAGAGAAGCACTCAACATGTCTGCAGAGCAGCCAAAGTGGAGAGTGTGCTTAGGACCCAGTTCCAAAATAGGGCTATGAAATAGTTCAAGGATAGACTGGCAGGGCTGGCCAGACAGCTCAGTGGACTAAAGCGCCTGC